TTTAAGGAGTATTATAGGATGCCCAGGGGGCACGAGCACATTTCGTTTGTATTTTCGAGCGCTTTTCGGGGTATTTTTTCTTAAAGTTTTCTTAGAACAAGATTGTAATGGGAAAAAAGATCCTTGTGCCATGTTTTGATGTAATTATGATCGCCCTTTTCTCGTTTAGTATTAGAAATATGGTCTTTCACTGCATATTTCTCGGGAAGAAGGCGATCATTATTACATTGAAACACGGCACACGGCTCTTTTTCCCCATTACAATCTTATTCTAAGAAAACTTTAGGAAAAAATGTCCTGAAATGTGCTCATGCCCCCTGGGTATCCTATAATACTTCTAAAATCGAATTAATTCAATATGGCTGCCGTATCGGTAAAAAGGTCTATTTCGTTAGTGTAAACAATCTTTCTCACACCCTGTAACAGCTTAATAAAGCTAATGTGAGTAATATTAGTGATATAATATGTGGATAACTCAACATCTTTGATCAAGAAAGGTAAATACTAAGCTACATATTAGGTTGTATAATTTTGGTTAGAATTTTGTTGTTTTCACTTGAGAATGAGAGAGAAGAATCTCTTTCAAGGCCTGTGACAGCTTAATACGGTGAATATCAGAAATATCACTAACATTATTTGTGGAAAACTCAACATGTTTGTCGAAAAATGTATACCTGCCAACTTTTTCTGAGATGTAGGCGTGAGATTTTTATCCTGGGAGTGCTGGGATTTTTGAAAACGACACGATCATTTCCGAAGATTCCCGAAGAAGTCCGAAGTCTTCCGAAGACGTCCGAAGTCTTCCGAAGACGTCCGAAGTCTGCCGAAGGCGAAGTTATCGAGAAAACGCTTATCCACAAAATCAGAGATCGCAAGGAAGGTGTTGTCATTTATTCATTTTACACATGGTTTTCGTTCCTTACATGGGTCTGAGTTAACATATTTTTGGAAATTGTGTCAAGCAAGACGGCAACAACTCACATTTTTCAATCAGGCGTGAGAAATTGGTCCGCAGGCGTGAGCGGGCGTGAGATCGAAGTTTTCAACCCGCAGGCGTGAGACTCACGCCTAAGGCGTGAGAGTTGGCAGGTATAAAAATGGTCTTAAGGTGAATAGTGAGCTGCATATGAAGCTTTATGGTAAGCAATTTGTTGTTGTTAAACTAACTTAGAACTTAGTCTTTCACGTCCTGTAATAGCTTCATAAACCGACTGTCAGTATCATTAGTGATATCATAGTGGAAAACTCAACATGGGCTTAAAGTAAGAAGGAAAACTAAATGTTGGGTTGGGTAATTCTGGTGACTGCTTTGTTTTTCTTGTTATATGTCACCACTATCTTTTTTAAGCCCACAATAGCTTAACCACGTCAAATTTGGTGACATCAGTCACAGGATTTGAGGAAAGCAGCAGTGTGATTACTTTGTCAAAAAGTGTAAGGGAGAGCTTTTCCTTTTTTAGTTTGGTGTCAGAGGAAAAATATCTGCTGTGTATCACAAGTTATTATATCTGACTTGTCATCACTGTCGATCTTCTTTTTACACATAACACAGGCTACGTAAATGGATGTGGTAGTGACTCCTGCTACAGATCCCATCACAATTCTGGTTGGACAATCATCAGTTAATCTGGGAGCTAAAGCTGAAACTTCAGTATGTTGCTCTGTTGGCCTTATGACAGTAACAGTTTTGGCAGTATTTATGTATAGCTGCTTAGTAAAGTTATCTTTCTTGACTCGTACATTTGCAAAAATGTATGTCTTTCCTTCCTCTACTTGTTTACAAAAGTCTTCCCAGAATATTATCTTACAGTAACCTTTTGCACCAACGATCCGTCCTTCTGGCATGTTCTAGGGACCTCCGTCTGTCTGCAGTAAGGCAGGTGTTCGCAGAGTAGTAATCTTTGCTTTAACTGTTATTAGTTGGCCACCAGCAATGGTTTTCAGCATTCTTAGGTTGAAGGTGCTTGGGATCTCTACTTTAGGAAATGGTGCTTGTTCAAGTTGTTGGATTTCAATGTTACATCAGCAAATCATCAGTAGTACTTCTCTGGTCTATCTTGAATCTTTTCAATCTGACAGGGTTAACCTCCTACTGACTGGAAGAGTCCTCTTTTCCCAGGGCCAAAACAAACTCCACGCGTGTATTTGTCCTTGGACTGAAGTTGGAGGTCAAAGAAGTTACTCTCCTTTGTGGGTGATACATAGTGAATGTAAGCTGCTGTTTGGTCTTGTTTATCTGAAAGGAAAGTAGTGTCACCATAATCAGGACACGGCATGGCAAACGGCTAGAGTGTTTCGAGAAAATGTTGAACTGATAAGTTGTATAATTATGGTGCTGACCACTTAATTTGATTTAAGGTCTGAACGGGAAGTTTGGAGATGATTTCAATGCTGCTAATCTTTCAAACGTCATTGACTCAATGACACAAGAGTTTTTTAACCCTGCTTATCGCAACATAAGTTTGACCAAGTGATCTCTCTCATGGACCAATGTCTATCCAAGCTTTCGGTAGAGTAAGTCCTTGACTCGTGGCAGTTGTTGTCTCTCATAGAAGCTATTTTGTGACTGTTGAACTGTTTCCTTACCTGAGAAGAAAAGTGGAGCTTTGTTGTTTTCTGTTGACTCGCCAAGTTTATAGCCAAAAGGGCTTGTTGTGTCGTTCTTCGCATGAAGTGCTGACAAAAATGGCCGGCTCGGTTGCTCGAGGTAAGACCTCGTCTTCCTGTATCATTCTTTTTCCTGTTTACTTGAAACGTAGAATTTCTGCAAACATTTCCTTTTAAATTTGTTTGTCATAAAACTTTGATTTTTGAGCCAAATTTTTCTTGTTAGAAAACGCTGAGTTCACAAAACGGCTTCTTCTACGCGAATACACGGGAGTTGTAAACAATCCATGAAGCACAAAGCTCAGCTACAGTAAATTGAAAAATGCCGTATTGAATCCTTCCAAGTCTTTTCTTGCCTTAAAGAAAGTCAGCGCTAGGATTTTGTCGACTTTTAAAAGATCATTCTCTTAAAAATGGGAAAAACACCAAGCTCACACATTATCCACTCGCTATGAAGTGAAT